TCAGTGAGAGAGTGCAGTGGTTTTATCTGTTGTTCCTCTGTTTCCTCTATTAGGTCCCCCAGTTTTAGGTAAGCTGACTTGTGGTACAGCTTAAATGCCTTACCATCTACACTTGGTTGGTATAGAGGGTTGTGTGTGATCGGATATAGTGGGGAGTGGTACAGGGATATCCGTTGGTGGTTTCTTAGTGTTGCCCAAATGCGGAGTGTAGGGGTTATAGTGGGGTGTGGGTTGTGAAGTAAAAGTGTTTGTCCCGTTTGTGCCATGGTATTGTGTATATGGGTGCCCTGAAGAAAGCATTCTCTAGCTGCACCCACTGCTTGGTGGAGTGTGGGAGCGACCAGTCATATACTCTAGCCAGAAGAAATCGCCTGGTGATATTTTTCTATGTCTAGTAGACCCAGGCCTCCTTCATCTTTCGGTCTTGTGAGTAGCGAGTAGGATAGCCATGCGTTTTTATGGGCCCAGATGAAGGCTGTGAATGTCTTGCGGACTATTGTAAACCACAATTTAGGTAGTGATATAGGCAAGACCTGCAGCAGGTATAAAATTCGGGGCAAGATGTTCATCTTTAGGATGCTCAGCCTGCAAAACCATCCAAAATGCGGTTTATTACAGGAGGTTTATGGCGTTAATTAGGTCGGGGAAGTTTCGCTCAAATAGCTGTGATATGTCCCTGGTTATATTGATCCCCAAATATTTAATGTTATTTGAGGCCCAGGTAAACTGATGAGTGTGTTTTCATGTGGCCTTGACCTCAGCGGAAATGAGTATTGGAAGAATTTCACATTGACTGAGGTTAGCCTTAAAATAGGAAAGTGTGCTATAAGTGGTCATTTCTGACATTAGGTGGGGTATTGAGGGTGTGGGGTTGCAGAGTGTGAAGAGCATATTGTCTGTAAATGCAGCTATCTTGTGCTCCTCGTTTTCCACCCTGATTCCCTGAATTTGAGTGTTGTACCTGATTCCCTGTAGGAATGGTTCCAAGACTAACACAAATTGGAGTGGGGAAAGGGGGCAATCCTGCCTGGTGCCGTTTGCGATCGATACTGGATCCAAGAGCTGGACATTAATGCAGATTTTCGCTGTAGGGTTTGAGTACAGTGCACTGACCCATTTTTGCCAGTGGGGCCTGAAATCCATATGTTGAAGTGTGTGTAATATTAAGGTCCAGTCCACCCTGTCAAACGCCTTTTCGGCATCAATTGACAGAAGCAGACTGAGGCACTGCGCCCATGTGGCATGATGTATGAGACTTAGTAGCTTGGTGCTATTATGTTTAGCCTCCCTGCCAGGTATAAAGCCTGATTGGTCTGTGTGTACCAACCCAAAGTGGGCGAAGTCGATTTGCCAATATTTTTGTGGAAAGGTCGATATTTATTAGCAAAATCATTCTGTAGCTTCCACATTGGGTCAGGTCTCTTCCTGGTTTTGGTAATAGGGTGATTGTTGCGTTTAAGGCTTTGGGAGGAAGGGTATTTGTTTTGAGTAGTGAGCTGAAGGAGTTTTGGAAGTGTGGTGTGAGTATCACGGCAAAGGTCTTATATTTTGCCGTGAGCCCATCGGGGCTTGGGCTTTTCCCCTGCGGCAGGTGTTTGATCGCATCTAGGCATTCATCCTTTGATATGGGGCTCTCCAGGATTTCCCTTACATTTGGTGGTAAAGTGGAGTGTATTCTATTCACGAGGAAAGTTTGTATTTCCAGGATCAGGAGGGGGGGGTGTCTCAGATTGTAGACTGAGGAGTAGTATTCCTGGAAGGCTCCTGAGATATCTGTCATTGAGTGGGAGCGTTTTCCCTTGGCATTGCATATGGCGGCTATGAAAGTGTTTTCCCTGTGCTTTCTCAATGCGTATGTCAACAGGCGCCCGCTTTTTCCCCCTTGGGTATAGTATAGACTTCTCCTGACTGCTAATGCATGTTTGGTACGGACATTTAAAATGGTGTTGAGCTCAGTCCTTTTCTCTAGTAGCTTTTTGTAAGTTGTTAGGTTGAGGTCTAGTTTGTGTGTTTCCTCTAGAGCCCTGATCTCCTTAGTTAGACGTGTGGACTGCATTTCCCTCTGTTTCTTGTGTCTGGAGGCAATTTTAATGATTAATGGGCTCTTATGGGCTTCCCAAATCATCTTAATTGTGCTCTTATGGGCTTCCCAAATCATTGGGTATGGTGAGTGTGGGCACATGTTTAGCTCAAAGTATTGAGTTAGACCCAACTTTATTTGGAATTGTATCTCTAAATTGTTCAGCAGTGTGTTGTTTAGTTTCCATTGTGCCCTGGTGGGATGTAAGGACGGGATCGTTATGGTCATGGAGATTTGGGCATGGTCCGACCAAGTTATTGAAGCACAGTTGCAAGATGTTATGAGTAAAATAAAAGAAAATGTACACAAAGTGGAAGAAAGAAGAGATAAGCAGCTCAAGTACACCTAATAAGTGGTATCCCCTACACAACTATAAATACATAAAAATACATACAAAACAATAGGCGGAGCCGCATAAAATCTTGAATAATCTGTAAAACAAAATTGAATATACACAAAATAGCGTAGTATATCTATACAGTGATATAAAGTAAGAAGAAAAATAATCCCACTCACAAGACCAGAGTCATACCATCAGATGACTCTAAGGGTATGCTTCTTTGGACCATTTGGGGGTTGTCCTGACCCTTTTGTTACCAGATTCTATAGTGTTCCCCCTTGTGTTTCTTTAATAGGTCTTCCCAAGGAATATCAGATATTCAGATGGTCCTTTTTGAAAAGCGATTTTATTCCAATAAAAAATATATTCCATATACCAGAATCAGCTGGTTAAAAGTAAATTGCAATAAAAGTCCATAGAATAAAAGTCCAATAAAATGTTCAATTACTAAAAAGTCCAAAACATGTTTCGCCTGTTAATTATGCTTCCTTAGTTGACTATAAGTGTTCCATCTCCTTTTAAATATCCCGCCCGTCCTTCCCCTCCAATCCGGCGTCGACTTCCGGGTTGCGCCAGAATGGAATGCAAGTGCGTTCAAAATGCACTGAGCGCTCCAGCGTTGGCGTCGACTTCCGGGTTGCACCAGGATGGAACGCACGTGTGTTCCAAATGCTTATTCTTACTCTTCCTTGCCGGCCACCGTCTGAATGGGCCGGAATACCTCTGAATGGTACGCATATGCGTTCCACACACATTAACATAGCAATTGTGCCAGCAAACAGAGATAAGAGAGGTTAAGAATAAAAAGGCAAAAAAGAAATGAAATATAAGTAAACAATAGTTAAAGCATAAAAGGAGGGAAAGAGTGCAAAAAGGGCATTCATTTGGGGAAGGAAATTGAATGGATACCCATATTTGTTGATATGTGAAAGACATTCTGTATTTCATGTAGAGAAAAAGTGAATTTTATTAATGACACGGAGGCTCCTATTATGCTATCTCTTTCTTACTTTATTCCTCAGCAGCAAAGAGAAATATAAAACTGAAAGAGAAAAAATGTAGATATGCAATAATAATAACAGGTACAACCAGATCTGCCTAGTAACAGGGCAGCCAATCAGCTTAGTAGGAACAGTCCATAAATGCCTTGCTTAGTACTTCCACTTCCTCTGCTGCTGTCCTCAGACCAGCTAAGTATCAATTTCACTCCTGTATATTTTAATCTTGGATTGTTTTTCTGGGTTTATCTACTGATAATATTTAATGTATTATGTACTTGTATGCTGCTTTGTGCACCCTCTATGATTTCTGTGTTTTGCTTTGATGTTTTTTGGCACCCCTTTTGGGTGTCTCTGTTGTCTGGTGTCTCCCTGCCTGTGCTGTACCTTTTGTGTGCACAGACAGGGACCGCGGATCACTGGAGAAGCTGTTTTCTCAGGAGCTGCTGTGCTCCCTGACCGCCCTCCCTCCTCCCCTCGCGACCGCGTGTGCGGCCGCGTGCGGCGACCCGTTCTACCTCCGGCCGCGTGTGTTTTTTCCAGCGAGCTCCCCGGCCATTGGCGGGGGAGGAGCTTGGGGCCGCGGCATGCTCTGCACGCGGCGGCCATCTTCTTTCACACACGTGGCTGCTGGCGGATCCGGCGGTCGGCTCCCTTTACCCCTGTTTTTTCCCCACAGGTATTTGCTTTGTGGGTTACTCAACCCCTGTTCTGTAGTTTAGGTTTTTACTCCATCATACTGTTATAACATTGTATTCTGAGACTGGTGGCCTGGCTCCCATAATATTTATTGTGGCTTAATATTTTATCTGTGTATATTTAAAGGGACATACCCCTTTTTAGCCACAAGCTTATTTACCCTCCTGTCTATCATGCAGGCTAAGGGTGATGATTCTGGCTGTCCCAGCTACCCCACCATGGAAGCCTTTCAGGCCCCTATCTCAGGTGAAGGGGGTCTCACCCCCTCTCAGGAGTTCCAGGCCCTTATTGATTCTACTATGCAGAGGGCTCTGGCCTCTGCCATGGGGACAGTCTCATCATCGCTGTCTCACACTATCCAACAGGCCCTGACTCAGCCCCTGGCTTCTCCTATGTTGGCAAGCCCCCTGCCTGCGCTGCAACCTCAGGTCAGCCGCAAGGCATATGCCAAAACTAAGCATGTCTCCCCCGATATGACACAGGTGGTACCTGCCCTGACTGACGTGCCTATGGCCGTCCAAGATGGCGCGTTACCGCGCAAGAGAGCCGCTGGCCGGGCAAATCGGCCAGAAAGTGGAAAAGGGTGCGTGCCCATGACAATGACGGGTCTGATTCCGATCCAAGTGGGGAGACAGGATCGGACACCCCCGACTACGCCTCTTATGAGGAAGGGGACTCCGACGCGGAGGCGGGGTCTGACGCTTCGGCGTTACCTCCGAGTGAGGAACAAGGCATATGCGATCCGCAGGGTTACCCCCTGTTCGATCCTGATGACCTTCGCCGCCCTCGCTCGGCGGAATGGGACCCGCCCGAGCATATAGCAAGCTATCTAGCGCTTCGTATGCGTACCCCCTTATCCAAGGAAGGGCGCAGTAAGTTACGGGCCAAATGCCCAAGGCCCTCAGTGCCTGATGCGGCGTGTAAGACGCCAGAGGTTGACCCTCAGATCTCACAGTTCCTGACAAAAAACGGGCTGGAAACCCAGAAAGGGTTTGGAGTTTTCACTCCATAATTGCCAGGACAAGATTTTGGACACTCTAGGTCCCGTGACTAAGCTTTATGAGCTATTGGAGACGGCTAAAACAGGGGATACCCCCCTGGATTTCGATGTAGCAATAGGTTGGGTCCAGAGATTGATTTGCCTACTTGGCAATGCTAACACGGCTACGTCAGCCGAACGCCGCAAGGCGATCCTGCTTAATATCGAACATAAACTGGTTAACCTTGCGGTCAAGGAACCGGGCGCTGCCGCTAAAGACATGCTCTTTGATGAGTCTTTTGTTAAAGACTTGGGTTCTTTTGTGCGCACCTTCACCGCCCTAGATAAGGCCCAATCCAACCTTAAGAGAGTTTTTGGTCCAAAGGTTTTCAACAGGGCCGGGAGGTATAGGAGCCGTCCGCCCGGCCGTGGAAATCGAGGTCCCTCATGGACTCAAAGAGGTTCCTTTGCTGCCCCTCGGGCCTATCAGGACTACAAACCCGCTCCCTTCTTTCCCTCCCGCGGGAGGACATGGCAGAATCGGGGAGGACGTGGCCAACCCTCATACAGACGCCCTTACGGTGAGTACTCAAAAAGGGTTTCTCTCTCCGGGCGAGTGTGGGAGGCAGGTTGGCTTTGTTTCTCGACATGTGGGGCATGATCACCACGGATGTGTGGGTGTTAAATACTATCAGAGGCTTTCGCCTGGATCTTTTGTCTCCCCCTATCCACGTGGACTCACCTCAGGAACTGAGGTTGCCGGAAGATCAGTCCGGGCTGATTACCAAGGAGATCTCGGAACTTCTGGCCAAACGGGCAATACAAGAAGTCCCGTACGATCATCCGGGATTTCTAAGCAACCTGTTCCTCGTCGCCAAGAAAGGCGGAGGTGTTCGGCCGGTGATCAATCTCAAGCGACTCAACGGATTCCTTCGTTACCATCACTTCAAGATGGAGGGCATACATTGCCTCAGAGATCTGCTTCGGCAAGGGAATTGGATGGTCAAGCTAGACCTCAAGGACGCATACCTGACTATACCTATGGCAGAGGTACACTGGGACTTATTGCACTTTACGTGGCAAGAACGTCGGTGGAGGTTTACCTGTCTGCCCTTCGGTCTCTCTTCAGCACTTTGGTGCTTCACGAAGGTGATGAAGCCGGTGGTGGCATTCCTCGGGTCGCGGGGAGTACGCATGATTATCTACCTGGACGACATACTGATTATGTCCGCGTCCCCCGATCAACTTCTACAACACCTGAGCTGGACGGTGAATCTTCTGGAGAGCTTAGGTTTTCTCATAAATTGGGAAAAGTCCATGGTGACCCCATCGCAGAAAATAGAATTTCTGGGTTTCGAAGTCGATTCGGTCGCCCAGTTTCTGTTCCTTCCAGAGACCAAGCTAAAGGCTATGAAAAAAGAAATAAGACATACTCTACGGACCACCAGCCTCTCCGTATGACAATTGGCGAGGGTCATTGGTCTTTTGGCCTCCTCCATTCAGGCAATATTTCCAGGACCCCTACATTATCGGGCCCTACACCGTCTGAAAGGATCCCACCTTCGCTCGGGCAGTTCGTACGAAAGCGAACTATGCCTGGACAGAGACTCCAAGGAGGAACTTCGATGGTGGTTGGATCATATGGAGGCATGGAATGGTCGAGCAATCTTCGGCACCGCCCCGGACATGGTGATCGAATGCCAGCCTGCATGGCTGGGGCGCTCGCTGTGGAGATGTCTCCACAGGTGGCAGATGTTCCGAAATCGAATCAAAGCTACACATCAACTGTCTGGAATTGCTGGCGGGATCGTTCGCTATTCGCAGCCTGTCTCCAACCCTGGGAAACTGCTGCGTCCTTCTGCGTATGGACAATGTGTCCGCGGTCAGATATATAAATCACCTAGGTGGCACTGTGACGAAGTGCCCTTCGCCACTTGGTCCTGGAGAGGCCTACTTGCCAGCCTCCTCCCCTGTGACTATGACTCTTTCATGTATCTGGCTTTAAAGCCCCTAGTCTACCTTCAGACAGACTATTTATGTAGGCTGCTTTATTTATCTTATGTTTTAGTCACCCTGTACCCATTATAGGTGCAGGGTGTGTGTGATGTAATTGTTTATAGTGTGTGTGTACTGTGTAATGTATTGCCTGCTCTCTTGTACTGCTGAGGTTTGCTACCAACTAGGTGGGTTTGGCTATGGAGCTTGTCTAGTGCCCTCTGTTGGTAGCAACAGCAATATGCACTACCTGAATTGCAAGACTGGTTCATTTGCATATTCGGGTAGATTTGCATATTGCTAATTCTGCAGGCAGGTGAGATATTTACTGTTAAATATTGTCTCCCCCCACCCCTTTAAACATGTGCCATTGTGTTGTGATAAGTCACTGTGTGTTTCTTGATATGGTTTGACTGTTTGTGATTTTATTGAGGTTTCACAACAATGTTATTGTGGTGACTGTATTGGCTGGTCCCAAGTGAATAAAAGTTTTGACAGTTCTTCTTGATCCCTCTAAACGTAGCCTTGTCTCGTTATTGGAGGGAGCTGTTATAATCACACTGGGGATTGCTATGCTCTGCATGCTCCCCTGAGCTTGAGTCACTTTGCTCTTTTAAGAGCTTGTTCCTGACACACTCTCCTTGGAGGAGGGGTCTTCACCACACAGTCCTGGATGCTGGAGGTTCATACAGGGTGGAAGGAAGAGTTCTTTCCCACACAGTCCTGGAGGACCGAAGCTGATCCAGGGTGGAAGGAAGACGGCGAGACACCAGTCAAGATACGGCGGTTGCGGAGTCTGCGGTGGTTGCGGTGTCTGCTGCAGTGCTTGGAGTCCTCAGGAAGCGCTAGGAGCATCCATCAACGGAGGGTACTCGGTCGGAGTACAGGGAGCTCCGTTACAGGCACGAAGTCAAAACAACTGGCGAATCTAGCGAAGGATTTCTGGCAGTTCTGCCTCCACAGCGCAGTGTCGTCACGGCCGAACACATCCCGGGTTTGGACAACGAATGGGCGGACTGGAATTCGCGATACTTGAAAGACTCCGGAGATTGGCATCTGTTACCTTCGATCTTCCGACAGATAGATCGACTATGGGGCCCGTTACAACTGGACTTGTTCGCATCCAGACTGAACGCTCAACTACCCCAATACTTCAGTTGGAAACCGGATCCATCAGCCACGGCGGTGGATGCGTTCCTACAGATATGGCCTCGTGGTCGTCACTTTGAGTTTTCCCCTTTCAACCTGATCTCTCGGACGCTGGCATACTTGTCCAGACAAGAATGCACGTTGGTGGTGATAGTTCCCCTATGGCAGACTCAGCCTTGGTTTCCACGTCTTTTGGAGATGGCGGCGGAGTGCCCACAGATGATCAGGATGCGATCAGAGGTGCTTCTGGATCCGGATGGGAACTCGCACGACTTAGTGGACCAGAACCTGCTCCAGCTCACGGCTTGGTTGATTTCCGGGGACCCTGGTGTGTCGCGGACGTTCCGCAGGCTACTACAAGACTCCTGGAGAATGCCTGGGCACCGGGGACCAGAACAGCTTACAAGACTGCATGGCATGCGTGGGGAGACTGCTGGATCCCCTTTCTGCCCCTCTGAAGGAGGTGCTCAGTTTTCTGACCACGCGTTTTGAATCTGGTTTGGCCTATCGCACTATCAATGTTTATAGATCAGCCATTTCAGCCGGACATATAGGTATTGACGGATCACCGATTGGACAACATCCTTTTGTGTGCTGTTTGTTGAAGGGTATTCATTACTCTAGGCCTCCGAAATCCAGATATTCATCGTTTTGGGATGTTAACGTGGTGCTGGACTTCTTGGAATCATGGACTCCTAATGAGGACCTGTCACTGAAGCAATTATCCTGGAAATTGGTTATGCTCCTGTGTCTCCTTTCATGCAAAAGGGTTTCAGATGTCAGGGCTTTGGACTGGACTGCGTTATCCTTCACCCTCGAGGGAGTGTCGTTTAACATCTCTAGGAGGACGAAGACGTCTTCTAAGTCAGTGACCTACCCTAGGTGTTCAGTCCGACCTGCTCTGTGTCCGGTAACTTGCCTACAAATGTACTTGGATCGCACTCACCTATTGAGGTCATCGGATTTATCCCAATTGTTTATTTCATTTAAGAAACCATTTCTCCCGATCTCCTCGACTACGTTAGCTCGTTGGATTAAGAACCTTCTATCCGCTGCAGGAATTGACACTTCAATATTTTCGGCCCATTCGGTCAGAGGCGCCATGGCGTCTAAGGCCTCCACGATGGGATGTCGTCTGGATGATATCCTGAAGGCAGCGGATTGGTCTAGAGAATCTATGTTCCGCGATTTTTATTTCCGCCCGATGGACCATGTTTCCTCGTTAGTTATGGCTCAGCTTTAAACTAGCATAATAGGAGCCTCCGTGTCATTAATAAAATTCCCAGATTTTACTAATAACATGACGTAAAGTCATGATTTTAGTAATGACATGGAGGCAAGTATTATTCCCACCCTCCCACCCAGTGGGTATGGTTTGGGTCTATACTTATGGTTCAATCGGGTGGGGGCTCTTTTACCTCAAGGTAAGTGTTCACAGTTTTCTCTGACTTATTTGGATCTATGTACTTATGTGGTTCCGATTTGACGTTTTTTAGTCCTGCAGGCCAGATTGTCATGAAATGTTACATGCAGGTCCGGAGTTTGGATTTTACCTACCTTTTCTCTGTTTTACAGCTTGATTTCGTTAAGATGACATCTACCTTGTTGGAGATTGTTCTTTCCTGATGTGGAAGTTTGGTTTGGGTCTTCGGTTCAGAAGGCAAAGAAGAGGAAGTGGAAGTACTAAGCAAGGCATTTATGGACTGTTCCTACTAAGCTGATTGGCTGCCCTGTTACTAGGCAGATCTGGTTGTACCTGTTATTATTATTGCATATCTAAATTTTTTCTCTTTCAGTTTTATATTTCTCTTTGCTGCTGAGGAATAAAGTAAGAAAGAGATAGCATAATAGGAGCCTCCGTGTCATTAATAAAATCATGACTTTACGTCATGTTATTAGTAAAATCTGGGAATTTGTATTCAAAAGGTATAAAGTGCAGTGCAAAATCTATTATTTGTTATAGGATAAATAGA